ATATATATATATATATATATATATATATATATATATATATATATACATACACACACACACACACACACATAGGCATGGGCCGATTACCAGTTTCAAGGTATACCGCGATTTGAAAATGTCAGTGTTTCAAAACCACTAATATTTTCCGTTATACCGTTCCGGCGGTATGCACTGTTTTTCATGTCTCCTTAAAGACTGAAAGTGTAGGAATCCCTCATGCCCCCTCCCCCTCCTGTTCGTGCAGTCACGTGTGTGCATGACGGCCGAAGGAGCTTCCCCTGGAACTTGCGCAACCGGCCGTTTTGTCTTATTGCAGCTTGTCTCTGTTCTGGACTTGCACAAAATGCTTTGCAATGCAATTAATTTCCAAAATGTAATTTATGTGAAAATATGAAGTCTGTAAACGCCCGTTAACACAGGCCAGAGACGCTGAAGATGGACGCACAGAGAAAACTACTGTAGCAGGCAGATCACTCATTGTTCATGATGCACGAGCTATTGGAAGAAAATCCTAAATATTGATTTGGGGATTTATATGAATGTGTTTCTGAGGGGAACTGGCTGTCTTCAGAAAAGTTTAGATGGTATTTTCTTTTAATCTCGTCTCTGTATAATTCACATTAAAGCAGTGTTTCAGCGCAGCGCTGGTTTGTTTACGGCGGTAACCAAGGAAAAGCCGTATCTGCTCTTCCAGAAGCGCCTCCTGCTGTCAGAGAGTGAATCTGCGTCTCATTCAGAGCTTCTGCTGTTTGCTTTGTTCAGGCATGTAGTATAATTTCACAAAGCTAGTCAGAACATTCTGTTTTTGCTATAAATTGGGTTATTAAATCAAATTATGTATATGAAATTATATAAATAAATATGAAATTATATAAATTATATCTATATTATATAACTAAAATTAAATAACTGTAATTACAGATATACAGTGCCTTGCAAAAGTTTTTTTTATTTTTTTCACGTTTTATGTATATGCCTTATGTTAAACTGCTTTAAATTACTTTTTTTCCACATCAATCTACACACAATACACCATATTGACAAAGCAAAAACAGAATTGTAACAGCTTCTTAAATGTATTAAAAATAACAAACCTGAAATAAGTACATTGCATAAGTAACTAAATTTTTAGCTAAAGCACCTTTACAGTCAAGTCTTTTTTGTTTGATGCGACAAGCTTTGCTCATCATCATT